ATATATATATATATATATATATATATATATAAAATGTTATCACATACTTTTGCTGCAATTTTAATCGACTATTTCAATAGTGTATGCCCCATTTTGGCTCCGCTTTGTTATCTTAAGCGCTCCCACTAAATGTGGTACAGAGGCGCCTCAACTATTAGTGTAAATAATTTCAAACATTTCTGTCACAAAAGACTCCATTGATACAAAAATACACACATTACCATGCAAAGCAACCGTACAGCACTTAGCAGTGGTCAAAAAATATTTCCAAAACGAGTTTTGGATTAATTCCTGCTTTTAAACTCTTACTTTTAAATTACCACACGACCCTGGTGTTTGTCCAAAAACAGTATAATTTGGCTGGGAATTTTGTGGATGGAGGGAGGAAAAAACCCTGACATTTCAGATTAGGGTGGAAATAAAATAACTGACTAACCCCCTTTAAAATATGGAATTATTTTAAGTCCTCATGTCAAATAACTACTAACTAGGGCTGTCAAAAATTTTTTTTCGAATTTCGAATATTCGTCTAATTTAAAATAAAAATCCACATTCGAATGCAAAAACGTTGCATTCGAATTTTAGGTGTGCGTCAAGGCCAAAGTATACTTCGGCCGTCCACATCCGCATTACGTCATCAGGAGGGCTCGCGTAGAGTCCGCACCCCGTCCGCGTGCAGGCAATTTTTTGAGACCGCGCGGACAGTGAGCGTACAACAGCGTATGCGCGAGGTGAATGTTGAGACAGAGTCGAGCTCGTCCGTCCGCGCTCATCCGCGGTTGAGTATACTTTGAAAGCTGTGCGGACGTGGCTGTGCGCGAGACGGAACGGAACACAGAAAGTGAAGTATACCCGGGCCTTCAGGCAGCCTTATCAGTGGCGCACGAAATGCGACCACGATGTAAGTGTCATTGAATTTTAATGCTTTTGTTAGGGAAGAATCAATGCGGGGAACATGTTGTTTATGTCAAACCCGAAACCAAGCCGTTATTTATCGCATTTTCTAGAGGGACATCTATCACCGTTGCACTCGCGTCTCGCAGAAGAGAGCTGCATGTTTAGAAAGCTATGTAAAATTAATGTAAGTTCAACTTTTAAAAAACATGTCTCAAGACTTTATGGCA